AAGATGCGCAAAAATCCACCCATTTCATTCCAACATGGCCTGCTCCACCGTCGGTCACCGCGCTCGAATTGGCACCTCACGCTACGATCCGAACCTTCCGCACTCCGACAGGCTCCAAAGAATGATGTTTTACGCGTAAGAATCGTCGGGATAGGGGAAATGTTCATATGTTTATAGGTTTTAAAACTTGCTGAGTTCAATAATTATTAGGTACAATTTTTAGTTAAATACGCTGTAGTTAACCGTAGCAACCGTTTTTGCGAATATTAGTTATTTAAAATGAAAACCAATGAGTGTAATCGATTGGAACGTCCAATAAAATATATCCTTATTTAGTAATGTACTTTATTTTAAATTAATTTTAAACCATTAAATGAAAATTATGGTATGACACTACACCTCAATGTGTCATCAAGGGAGAGATGTGACCAGCATAACCAATCCCTTCATCGTATCTAGCATGCTTGGCTTGCCCGAGCTTTCTTTCGTCACACAGCTATACCAACTGGGATGATTGTAATGGAAAAATACAGGTCTATTTTTTCCCGACCGGCAGTCGAACCAGAGATCACTCCACAGAAAGCTGACCATGAGCCATCCGATGGGCTGAAACTTTAGTACATAAAAATGAAAATGTTAATACTTGTCTTCTTTCTATTTCATCGTCTTTCAAACTGGATTTTTTTTTGTAATCACAAGTAAATGCCAACCTGGATGATCGAGATGGCTAAGAACGTGTACCGTTTCAGCGCCTCCGTCTGATGGGTCGCGAGTTCGAGTCCCGCCTTGGGCATGATTGTTTGTTCTCTGACACCCGTGTATACGTTGTCGCAGAGGGCCTCGCGTTTCGCTGACCCCATATCACAGGAGCTCGCAAGTGCTTTGGTGTCTAGTGTATGGTCGAATACGTGTCACGCTGGGACGTGAATCTTAACCGGCTGTCTGCTGGAAAATGCCAAAGAAAAAATAAAATAAATAGTCAATATCTGGCTATCATTTGCTGTCTTAAATAATGCCTCTTAATATGCCATCATTTATTCACCTCTAGTAAAATATTATTATAAAATATAGTATGGATAATTGTTTTAATGTAAAATACATACGAAAAATTATAATCCGTCAATACATACCACATGAAAATCTTACCATAGTCGATTCAGAAATTTCTTAGAGACAATGCTTCTCTTTGTTTTTTTAGGTACTCCGGGCGCTTTTCCGCAACATCTCAGATCTCCAACACTAGTTTGGGACTTTCCTTGATGCACTAATCAGTTTTTCTGCTCTAAGTATTGTGAAAAAGACACGTAATATGATATAGAATTCCTAAATTGTAAAATTAATATAGGCAATGATGAAAACTTACTCCCAAAGACGAAGCGTATTTGCTTACTTACAGCAAACTCCGCCTTCAAATAACTCTGTTTGATCTAGAAGAATCTGTCAAGAAGGAACTAGCAGCTGCTGGAGTAAACATTCATGATTCAACAGACCGTCGAAGGCTATTGGAAGTTGGCCAGGACCACAAAGGCCAGTGAGAAAACAACTTCTGACTGAGCCTACAAAGACATTTGTCCGACGACCGAAACTACCAAATATGTAAAACAGGGTGGCAAAAGAGTACCTTGTTTCTAGCGCGTGGCGAGACAACCCAATAAAAGAGAATGAATTCTCGAAATTAGGAATAAAATCACTCCTTTGAAACTAATTCTAAACATAAATTTCATACAAAATGTACGTATAAAATGCTTGAATTCAAGCTCTATTCACCAGCATATATCCGTTGAAACCAACAAATTGGATTGTAAAGTTAAACGAACTCAACATTAATTTCGTTGAATACAGACATCCTTTGTGAAAAAGAATAACACGAAATTCGTGGTATGTATTTCGCTTGCTGGTCAGGATTTTTCGTGGATGTTGGTGTTATTATTTTTTAGAATATTGCGTTATGCTGTACATTAATTAGTTCCATGTTGCAGTAACAGCCGAATTTATTGGAAAGTTTGTGTTCAGAACTTGTCGTTTCAGTTCTACGAGTATAATTTCAATTTTATAACCACCCATATATTGTGAGGCATGTGCATCGAAATAACGAGCACAGGCGTCACGAGTTGGCCTCCTCCCAGGTCGTTTGACAGCACTAGTACTAATCGCAACGGCTGCATTCCTGATTGTGGAACCGTTTCGGCAGTGCGTATATTAAGTGAGCTAGTAATGAAATGGAGTGTTACGAAGGTTTCAAGATAAGAAATTGAATTTACAGGCCGTGAACGCAATGAATGCATAATTTTATCTAGTGGCTGAGGATCTGCGGCAAGTTTTCAATGCTTTTTGCATTATTGAACCTTTTTTAGCCACCAGAATATGAGCACCTATTTAACGTTCTCTCAAATGCATGCAGACAACTTAAACAACAGCTCATTCACGCCGGTTATTCTCGTTATCTATTAAACCTTGAGTATCAAGTCACGTCACAGTGGTGGGATCACAATAACACCAAAAACATTGAATGTCCATTGAAAATAACGTTTTTATAATTTCACATAGATTTCGGTTTTCAAAATTTTTATAGTTATTTTTTCTTATAAGTAGAGAGCCAATTTTGCCAGATATCAGGGATATTTTTCCAGCTGCGGAAATGAATTAATCTTTTCTTCATCTTGAAACACTTTCTCAGTGTGATTTTTAGTTTAAAGGGTAAACATTTCTGCAAAAGACAAAAAGTTAAAATAAACTACAACGAAAAGCGTTCCTTTGAAGACAGAGCGTTTCGCGAGGTCTCGCTTCTTGATATTCCTTAAATATCAATACAAACGATTCCGTTTTTCTCAACTGTTCCCAATGGTCCGAAATATTTTCACTCTTTGCTGCCAGCGACGAGCTTATGTAAAAAGAGAGGCTCGAAATAAACATACCTAATTTTTAAAGAGAATGTGACGAAGATCACTTCTTTTGTTTTGGGGAAATGTCAACTTTTTACAGCAATTCGTTTAGTTGTTCGCTTAAATGATGTTTAATCATTAAATCATTTGTATTTGACAAATCATTCCCTCACAATACTAGTAAGCAAAATGATACACATAGAAAAATTTTCTGAAAATAACACGTTTTAGTTCAAATTGGAAACATACTTTCAATTTCACTAAGAAATACATTTTCATGAGGAATAGCTCAAGTTAAATTCAATACAGGACAATCAGTATAATTATATACCACTCATACTTAACCTACAATTTGCTTTCGAAAGTAAAATCTGTTATTGTACTTTTCCTCCAATAAACTTTCATGTCCCAAAGTATTATTTTATAGAGAAAGCGCGTCTTGTACAGACATGAGCACAAAAGTGCTTTTATTTTGGAAATCCTAGTTTGATGATTTATGTATGTATGTATAACAATTGTATTTACCACTAACAAATGAATTTCCTTTCTAGGTGAGTGTGACAACGAAGGAGTGATCGTGTAGTCTACTAGTGAACAGTGGGTCTACCTGAAAAACATGCAAGTAAGAGTCCATTGTTGCTTCTACGTGATCCATTTTTACCTAGGCTAAATGAACATGAATCCACAGTCACACGACACTTTTTGAATGCTTCTCCTCGTTCTCCCCTGTTGCCTTGGCTGAAACACACCAATAATTCAAAGCACGAACGTTCGAATACGACTGTGGTTATTTCTCCTTTTCAAGAGAGCAAAAATATTTTCAACCAGGCTTTTATCTCGAATCCAAAAGTATTACAGGAATAAAAAAATACGACTCGCGCAGAATGGAGATTCGATAAGTCCGTGGGAAATGGGTTAGGGGGCAGGCCCGTGACGTTGTAAAGCTCGTTCAGTTTCCGAAGGCGATGTATCTTGCCAGCCGCTAAACACGGTTCTCCGCCCCCGGCCGTATCTCCTTCCACTCCAGCGACATAGGAGTCCGCCGCCAGATTACGGGCCGGCCGATAAAGGAACACGGCGCCGGCGGGGCGCGGGGCGTGGAGGGGCGCAAAGGGGCGCCGGGGACGCCGGCCACGGCGGGGCACAGCGGGGTAGGGCCAGCGTTTATAGTTTCCGGGGGCGCAGGCAGAGCAGAGGGACATCGCGCACTGGGCCGAAACGGAGCCGCAAAAGCGAGGACGAGAAACTTAATCAAACCAGAAAGGACCGCGAGAAATCCGCGGTACAGGACGAGTCTAGCAGCCTAGCAGACCGCTCGCTTTCCAGCTGTGTGGACCGGGTGGTGAAATTCACGTCATTCCATGAGGTAGATTTGTAGTTAACAAATGGGAAAACGCTTCGGGTTTCAATGGGGCTCTCCCATATTCTCCGCCTCTCAATTTTGTACTTGAAAATCACATTTAGTTATGTTTATTTTCCGGGTAAGTACACTCCATTTTTTTTAATTTACTCAAAAGGGGATATTTAGGTACATTTCTTACTGGTTATTTTGCTATAATGGGAATATCGGAAATTTATTAGTCACTCCACATTTATCATCCACTTGTGATAAACACACCATATGGCTGGAATACGCCAAAGATCCCGTTCATAAAACGAATAATAATAATAGTAACAATAATCATAACAATAATAATAACATTGAGTAGCACATTTTACAATGATTGCCTTCTAATCGGATATGCGGATTATTTCTATAGGTGCCTTTCGCGCAATTCTCACTGAAAATCCATGTTGAAGGTAAAAGGAAACATCAAACAGTTCACAGAAATCGGTACGTATTAATTTCGTTATATTTTTAATTGTGTTTGCAATTGTTTTCGGCGAGTGGCGCGCGCGCTTTGAGCGGCGTTTGTGCCCGGTCCACCGCGCCGGATCCAGAGCGCACTGCGCCCCGGGCGGCGGGCACACGATCGACGCGCGGCGGCGGCGGCGGCGGCAGCGGAAGCAGTGGGCGGGGCCTGGCGACGAGTGGGCGGCGGGGGGATGGGCGCGGGCGCCGGGATGAGGACGGTCGTCAGGCGACGGCAATTTGGGCTGCAGTCCTCGGGGCCGCCCTCACCCGTCCTTTCCCTCGCCGCTGCTCACCACAGGGTGGAGCGGAATGACGAGCTCTTGCCTCCCGAGGGAGCCGGTGACACATGTGGAGCACGACGCGCCGCCCGAGGAACTTTCGCGCTTTGCGCCGGCTCCGTTCAGCCCAGAGGCGGTGTTGGCGCTGCCTCTGCAGCCGCTCTGATCGGGCGCACCTAGGATTTGACACATGCTTTTAGTAAAAGCTAAGCTGGCAAATGGTCGAATGGTGGCACTTATCTTAATGCGACGTAGATGACCTCGTGTTATGGTGATCCCTGAGCCAGAATACCGATATGGGTTAGGATTCGAGTGGTGCACCACTGATGAGAAAGTGGAGCAGCACTTGATGAAAATGTAGGGAAGTAAACGTGTGGAAGGTGATAACACGTGCGGTGAATCTATGGGCAAAAATATAGCGTTAAGTACCAGCAGTCGGATACAGCGAGGAATGAATTTGAAGCGAGTGGAAAAGGCACATGTTCCTGAAATTAACTACGTATATTCACTTGCACGTCTAGAAATCTCTCAATAACTCTGTAAAAACTGTCACAATGCCTTATTGTCCACAGAGAACGATGTGGCCATAAAATTCTTTGGATCGTAGATACCTCTTGAAGACAGTACTTATTTATTTATTTTCGTCGAAAACAGTTAAAAACTGTTACATTTATTTATGTCCAGAAGCAAAACAAGGGACCATCTCAGCATTTGCTCAAGTATCAGAGAAACTGGACGAAAACCTGATCGAGATGGAGGTCAATGACCCAGAAGCTGAAGTACAATACATGTTACATGTTCTTTATAATTATACTATCCAAATGAAATATAATACATTAAATGTCATTGTTAATATTAAAAATAATTTAGCATTCATTTTGACCTCAAATGGCAAGACACACGTGTGCAGACAGGGATCGCATGTGCCAGTAGTCTCAATCAAAAGGACCCACATTCAAAAAGTGCCGAGACGCTGACATCCCATTTCGAGAAAAAAGTGACTGTCTTCTTCCCCATTACTTCTCGCTCATTAGCAGCACCACCTGGAGTTCTATACCGGTTACCAACGAGAGAAACGACGGCAAGAGACGTCACCCACCTTTGCAGACGAGAGAACACGCGCCATCTCCATATGGTTAGTGTCGACTCATAGAATGTGTCCAGACAGCAATTTATTTCTTGTACGCTATACCCGCAGCTGGAGTTAGTCGCGGAGAGTTCATTTAAAATGATGTATTGATTTTTCAGCTTCTAAGAAAAGAAGGTTTCGCAGCATTATGATATTTTGAACTCAAAATTGTGGCTTATAACTATCTCTCACAGGCTCTTCTAAAACATCATTAGTATAAAGTATCAATCATTTACAATCGTGCCGGCGTCATATTCTTTGTTCTCGCCATTATTTCTTGGTTATATCTCCTTCTTCGATGTTCCTCCATCCGTATGGCTGAAACTAAATAATGTTTCTTTGTATCTGGACATTAAGGCATTATCTCTAGGCACATTATTATATATTATACTATTATTTCATTTAAATTCAAGACTCCAAGTATTTGCAGCATGTATTCACTTTGCTTGCGTTCAGTCAGGGGATGTTGACTGACACGCATCGAAGGAACTTAATTCCAGAACTTTCAGTGCCCTTAATCTGACCTTTTGCTGAAGTCTGCGTTTTGTTTCTGCTTCCACTGAGTGTCACTGGAATTCTCATAATTTAAAAAATTCCATCAGTGTTTGCTGTAAAAAAGGTGTTAATATTTCAATACTGCCAAAGATATATTGGAAAGTTTGTTTTATATTGCCAATAGTGTATCTTTATGATGATTTATACCTCAAATACAAAATGTTAGTCAATTTATATAAAATTCCTTTCAAACTTTCAGAGGAAACAAATATCATTTGATCATATGCAAGAATAAAATTTCGCCCAGTGTTATGTCTGGGTTATGTTTCATCATCAGTCATATATCAGTCGTAGATACATATCGATGGTGCAAACGATGTTTAGTCATTTTAGTTAAAAGTAAGATTTGAGCTTGAAGCAACAAAATTAAACATCTGACGCCCCCCCCCACACACACACACATAAACTTTGACGAGATGATTGTTTCCAAAACTCCTTCCTAACAAATTTTCAAAATATCACTGAACGAAAAAATACATATTTGACCAGTTTTGATTAATTTGATTATTTTTGCTTAAAACGTGTGCGCCATCCATTATAAGCCGTTAACTTATGTATTTAATGCATCCTTATGCATTCGAATATTTCCGGGTACTTTCAAATCATCTAACGTTTGGCCGCTCTTCATAAGAGGCAAAAAATGAAATTTAAAATTATCCGCCAATTTCTCTTTGGTCAGTTTTTGAAAAATATTAGAAAGGTGAATGGATTTTTTTCTCGGTAAATACGAAGAATCATATTCTGCTTGCGAAGATGGATGTACAAAATCAAAATCTACGCAAACAACCATCTTTTCTTTTCTTAAAGATGTCGCTTCATCAGTCGTTTAACCAGCGGAGGTAGTTGAGGTTATGCCTCTGACCGGGAAGTCCTGAGGTGCGAGTTCCGACAGTGGCAGGGTTTTTGGCACTAGCTAGATAGCAAGGTCGAATCCGGCCGCGGTATGGAGAATCCTAGCTGCTGGCTGCTCTGAAAGGTACTTTTCCGTGGTTTCTCCTGTCAACAAGAGAATTCATGCGCAGTACCCTAACAAACGAATTACGGACCGCGCGCGATCTTTCCTTCCTCTCCCTTGTCCTATGCTCACCCCTTACATACACACATACACACTTTCAAGCACTCTACTACCAGCATGCCGGGAGCTTTTAACTTGTCCTGAACGGGAATGTACCTCGCTGGTGGGAGACACCTGGATGGGGAAAATCCTGCAAATCAGCGGGTAAGTCGGCGCTGGATCTCACCAATCAGCACGGGAAGAATACTGTTACCCCCGTGATGAAAGTATACATTATAAATTAGACACCGATGACCACAGAGTCAGGAATAATGAAATAATCAATCAGTTAATCAAAACCATTGGAATACTTTTAAATCTTTCTAAAGCCTTTTACATCTTCTCCAATTGACACCAGGCGAATGCCATAGCAGTACCCTAACAAACGGGCCACGGACGGCTCGAGATCTTTCCTTCCTTTTTCTTGTCCTATCCTCATCCCTTACATACACAGACTTACACTTTCATCCACAACCCTATCCCACTTGTTGGGAGATCAGTCGGGAGATTAGAGCTTGTTCCGGCTTGGGCGGTTCTCCGCTGGTAGGAGATACCTGGTAGGGGAAAACATGAAAACTCCAGTAGCGAAAGGTTTGGTCGCCGGCCCTCATCATCTTTCGGGGAGAAATCACGAGAAAAAAACATACACCTTACCTACGAGACTAATGACCTTACCTCCCGGAATCACTAATCAGTCAATCTAACGTTAAACAACGCTCTCGGAGAGTAGAAATACCGCACTCCAAAACAAGAACATTATTTACTCAAGTTTCCAATTCATTGCCATGTAGGCCGCGATAAGGGGGTAATATCCAAAACCAATAGCTCATTTGCCCCTGTAAATAGTTTTTTTTACATAATAGGGAATATGTTGTTATCAATTCTTGACAAAAACGCTATTTCCTTGCAGTCTTTACAATTCAACTTAATAGTCTATACAATTCAACTTAAGAGCTCGGACAGGAATTCCAGAGCTCAAGGAAAAGTGTACAGATTGCACTTACTCAAAGTGCGTCACATACAATTTTAACTGTTTTGACATTTAATAAATAAAAAAGTAGTATTGACATAAATTTTGTCCAAAATACCTAGAATGTTAATAAATAGCCCTATATTAACAAATTGTTTTAAATTTGAAGTGATGTTGAGAGATGTAGACCAAATTATTTTCTTGCATCTATCCTAAAATAAAATTTTTGTCAGTGTCTCATGCTCACAATATTTTCAAGACGCTGCTAATTCGCTTCGGAAATTACGGCACTTCCATAATCTCTACTTGGCATACCTGTATGTATTGACGACACCAATGACTTTGGAAACTATAATAAATTTGATAGCCTCTTCTTTACCAAATTAAGAATGTTGGCCCTCTCCGAAAACGAATGGTTCCCGGTTATCTGACTTTTCATCAACCAGGATTGAAATTCTGCTGTCTCTGAGACTTGTAGTCAAGAAACATCCAGCTTTCACGACCAATTTAAATATCATGCGCCGGGATCTATCCTCTACTAGTCCATTGCGAGCGAGCAATAAACACATAAAAATCCGCAGACAGCGCCGCTCCGAACAGTAAATTCCGCCTCACAATAGCAAGCATTGACGTTGATAAATGTTATATTCTCCGTTTAGCTTAACAAAGGTGTGAATGCAAACGCAAATGGAGTACTTTATGGCCATCTCCGATTGTGCAGGTCTCCTCGCGCGGGTCGTTTATGCTCGGATAGGCGCTGGCACTTCTTTACATGCGGCCGTTGCGCCCATAAATTTGTACTTTAAACAACGATAAGCGGATTACTGCCACTCAACTAGAAGTGAGGCACACCCAAGATCTTCATCAAACAGGCCAACGCGACACCACGTCGAACCCAGTTTGTCTAGAAATATTCAGACTCAGTCTTGAGAGTCGTACGTCATGGTAGGCGTATATAAATGGCTTTGCTGTAGAATGTTCAACATTTTACCAATAAGAAATGCATCAATGTAAATGTGTGTAATGCATCACAATTGTTTTGCTGGAAGATTCACACGCAAGGATATAAAAGGGAATGGTGAAAAGCAAACAAATGAAATCAAAAACTAACTACCTATTTCAAATATTTGAAAAGTATTGGTCTACATATTTGCAGTCATACAAAAAGACATCGAGTAAGCTACTGCAATCTGAAATCAGGAAAGTAATTTCAGGATAAAAGGTTATACAGTATGTAATTTTAATATTAATTATACCTATCTGGACCCGGGCAAATATTCTGGACATTGCAAATCATTGTTTAGAAAATGGAAATAGCTTGAAACTGTTCTCAATATCAAGCGTGAACATGAACTGCACATTCAAGTATTGACTGGCCTATTAATCCTATAAAAAATCTAGTTTCTGCATGATGTATATGTTTCCACACATATTCACCACATGCTGCTCAAATCTTCCCTTTTTTTCCAAATGCTCCATGAAATGTTCCCCCAAATATTTCTCACAACGTCCTCCTAATTATGACACAATGTTGCCACAAATCTGCTTCACAATTTCACGGAATGATCCCTCACTTTATAATGTGAAAACGAAACTAGAAGTTAAAACATTAAATTTAAGTGTTTTTTCATTACGAAATACGTCAATAAATGTAACAGCAGCGTTTAGTTCAGTGCCTCCAGCCGGATGAAATGGAAAGTTCTGAATAGCTAAAAGTACCCTGAAGAGCGAAACTCCAAATAATTTTAAAGAAATGCTCGCAAAAAAATGTTATCTCCAAAAATATATTGTTTTGAAATTGAAAATAGCTTTTTTCTGAGGAACTCTATTTTCAGTCTTTCTGGCAACCTGTAATACAAAGTGACGAAACCATTAACAAGTGTAATAGAACATTCAAAATTGTCTCATTTTGTACTTTACTGTATAGAAAGCATAACTTGTGCCCCTAGGGAATAAAACTGTTTTTAAGGCTCTAGGGCGCATCGCTTCTGACTTACGCAGGATGGAAAAGTGTGTTGCGCCGCATTGATTTTTGCGGCTTACAAGTCGCCAGATATGCCCTCATGTGTCATAATCTACGAACTACGTTGTATGTATTTTTGTCTTAAATCTCTTTGATGCACTACTGGAGCGGGGAGTTCATTCCGTATTAAACAATTATACACATACGGAATTTTGTGTATTTTGGATTTCTTATAAAAGATAATACTTCTTTATCTTCCCTTAGCGTACAGAGCGGATATGAAAGAAATGTGAAATTAATATAAACTTGATCGGGTAATCAAAAACCTAGCCGTCGATGCGACCGTATATAAATAATTGTATATACAAATAAGAAAAATAAATGGCAGACAAATTTGGGACTTATTTCTTGATATTACAAGGAAAGTCACCCAAATTGTGTTTTCTTTCCATAAAGAGATATTACAGAGCATAAAAGCATGAAATATGTACTTTATGTTGTGTTTTAAGTTATATTACAGAATGAAATTGGAAATTGAGGTCTATATTCTGCATAAGATACCCACTTTCATAGTATAACACACGACTCGAATTAAAAGAAAATGTTTCTCTGAGAAATTTTAATGAAAAAATGGCAAAGTAATGTCGAGATCATAGGCTCGTATGCTGATTCTCAATCAATCGAAAAATCGAAAACAAATATAAATTAGTATTTACGTAGGGGTTTGAACTAAGTCTGTTCAATAAATCATATTAGTTTCAAGTGTTTCTATTTTTACTTTCTAGCTACGAAGTAGAGAGAAAGTTCTGTAATGCTGCGCGAGAAAACGGCAAATGTTCGGAGGAAAAACTCATTACAGGATCCTGGTAACGAAAACGTGGATCCTGTAATCCACCTGCTAATTTTGAAAAAAATCTTCTAACATATGATGTAGCCAGAAACATTGCTGATACCTTCAAATACATGATGTAGCCAGAATACTTGATACCGAAAAAGTGAAAACAAATATTCGTCTTTCCGTCTGTCCATCCATCCGTCCGTTCTTCTGTCCGTCTGTGAACAACGCTAACTGCTAAATCGGTGAAACGATTTTCTCTAAAATTGATATTCCCCAACCAAGCTGACTGATGTCCGGGCTCCTTGAATTTGAAACCGATATTTTAATTTTGAGGGATGTTTTAGATGAAGCCGCTTGGACATTTTCAAAATTTTCAAAAAAAATGGCTCCATTGTTTTTTATTGGATGGTGTGAAGTACGTTTAAGAGAATGGTGTAGGTGTCATGTTCATTGAAAACTGCAAAAGTTCAGAACTTTTTCGGAGTCTTCCTACAACTACAATTATGAAGATAGGAATTTTTCCCATAATGAAATATGTTTCTTAAAGATAGCTTTTGAAAGTAGATCATTCTCAATTTTTCGGAAATTTGAGTACGTTTCGCCAAATTTTGCGTGAAAGTACGGGCGACAAAGTACGTGCTGTTTTAGCACCACTAGTTTTAATTTCGAAAACACAGATGCTTTGACCATCTTCATTCTCAAACACGTGAATTGATTGTCTAGAGACTGAAATACGCATTGCCGCAATCTGTCCCTTACCATTTCTTCTATGTACATCTGAGAACGGTATTTTGAAGAAGTAGCTATGCACTGAAAATTAACTGTTGAGGGTTTATATTAAATTATATTGGACATATTAGACACAAAATAATAGTCCAAATTGCCCTTTACACATACAGTTCAGAAAAAGTTTTTATATCAGATTTAACTGAATAGACACAGTATTTGTAAAGTATAATAATATGAAAGTTTCTTTGTAATTCATTTAATCAATTTAGTTTCTCTAGTAAGGCATTTAGAAAGATATGTAAAGCTGAAAAGCACTGATGTCGAAATTTTGACAGAAATATCGTTTTGGAGAGTTTTAAGACGTGTGTCCTTCTGTTCGTCCGGCCGTCTGTCTATCTGCCTGTCGCTCCGTATGCGCCTAAAACGTTTGCAAAATGTTCATCAAAATTTATATTCTCCAAACGATTTGGATGATGTCATGACTCCTTGAATTTCGAACGAATATTTTATTTTTGGGGGTACGTTAAATGAAGTCCAACAACACTTTCAAATTTTCTCAAAAATATTGGTCTTTGAATTTCTTATGATTTCTGAAATCGCTGGAGGGAGATAGTAAAACCAGGTAAATTGACGGCTACCGCGATGGCGCTCTGGTCCTGCTAGGTCAGCAAATATTACGGTAAAAATATGGCAGTTTGTTCTCAAATATTCTGTCCATACGTATCAACTCTGTGAGAGAGACATCGGAAACATAGAAAAGAAGAGAAGAACTTCCCCCGATATTTTGTATGTCTGATGACTGGGCTGAATTGGTGAGGAAGGATATATGTTACAAGTACATTCATACAGTGGTAAAATTTAATCTGATATGCTTATCAGCAACGATCTACGGCTGCAAAAGATAATCGAAGGAATGGTATCAAAGCACAAACCAATTTTTAAAAAAAGGTTTTCTGTACAGTGCTGACAAAAGATGAACTATTTAAATATAATAGATATTCATGTTACAGTACCGAAGAAATAAATTAATTTAACAAGTAACCAAAATAGCATAGCATAGATAGCTAAATAAAACCTTCCAAGATCAAATTTATTTATTTATTTATTTAACGTAAAAAATTAAGTGTGTAACGTAGTAGGGGGAAAAGTGTAAACTGCACTTTTTTTGAGCTCTGGAATCCGCATCCAAGCTTTTATGTGTTATTGAGCTGAATTATGAATAAAGGAAGGAAGCAGCGATTTTGACTCGAATTGGTAAAAACAGAAAGACCATGTACACGTAGGCTTCCGCGGCTCGAGTCCATTACTTCTAGGCTGTCCGGGTGACGCCGCGTCGTTGGCAGATAGGCCGACGTTTCGCCTGTCATGTCGCAGGCTTCTTCAGGGTACTGACAAGTACCCTGAACAGCCTAGAAGTAACAGAAAGACCATGTACAATTTTCAAGATAATGTGAATACTTTTCCCATTACTACATGAACATATGGACAAATTTTAAACAATTATTTTCTCAAAACCAGTACTAATTTGTTTCTTTACATATTTTCATCTGATGGAGCAAATGACGCTTAAACATGGCCCAGATCTCATTTTCGCTAAACTTTCTGAATTGTCGAAAATTTAAAACGTTGCAAATTGTGCGAGAAAATATGTGAAGTTGTAGTACCACTAGTTTCCACTGTATCAAACCAATTACAATAATGCAGAGACCTGAATAAATACTGATATCTGATACGTTCACTGATATCGTTCATGAAATATACCTCAGAAATACTGTATTCTTTCGACTGTAAAATTGTTTTTTTTTTCAGTTAGACCCTTATTTTGAACAGGCCTTGTATTATAGAAGAAGATTATTATAGAATTATATCTCTAACCACACAGCAAGCTCGAGAAGAATTCTAGCGGAATATACCGGAACAGTACCGGAACAAAATGGCCTTGCACCATCTTCCCATCCTCCTTCTTGTTCCCTCCTCTTCCCCACTTTAATTTCAATCGGCTTGGAGAACCGAGTCGGGTCCTTCCTTGAGGCGAGTGCTAATACCACCGCTATGCATTGAGATGCACCCTGTGCGATGGCACTCTTTCTCCCGCACTGCGCATGGTGAGCCCCGCCCCACTCGGGCGTTCCGGGGGCGGCGGGGGCGGCGGCGGGCGGCGGGGGCGGCGGGGGGCGGCAGGGGGCGGCGGGGCGGCGGCGGGCGGCGGGGCGGCGGGGGCGGCGGGGGCGGCGGGGCGGCGGGGGCGGCGGGATGCGGCGGAGGCGGGCGGCGGGGGCGGCGGGCGGGGCGGAGTGGCGGCCGCAGGATGGGGGCGCGGGGCTGGGCGGCGGGGCGCGGGGGCGGCGGGCGGCGGGGGCGGCGGGGGCGGCGGCGGCGGGGCGGGGGCGCGGGGGGTGGGCGGCGGGGCGCGGGGTCTGCGTCAGAGCCCCTGCCCGCGCCGCCGCCTGGTTCTCCGCCGCAGCTAGGAAGCGGCGTCCTCCTAATGGCCGTTATTACCCGTCTGAGACTCCGCCGGGGAAAGGCTTCGGGGGTGGGGTGGGGTGTGACGGTGGTGAGGGCTTCAGGGACAGAAGCGCGAGCCTGGCAGCCAGGCAGCGCCCCACGCCACGACGCAACGTCGTGCGCAGCGGGCCTGCTGGCGGTCGTGTGCAGTAGGCTTCTTCGGCAGAAGCGACGAAAAATGATAGCTGCTTTTCATCTGATCTGATGACCCGTAGTGTAAATAATAAAAATGTATTGTGGGTGTATCTTTCGAATAAAAGGGAAAGAATCATTCGTGAAATTTGCATACGCAAATTTGAGCGTAATATAAAAATAAAAACTTAAATTCTTTAAAGAAAACTACATACACACATTTTACTGTCTTTCTCGGTACAGTAACAAAAGATGATTTATACGCAACATCTTCGCCTTTTTGATATCACGCTTAATTGAGGCACATGCTGAATAGAGGCCTCATTTTCGATTCATTTTTCCATGAAATGTACCAATGCTCCTTTGTAAGAATGCAAGTATTTTTTATATCAAAGCGATGTTTTTAAGAAATTGATGTCATTGCATTTCCTTATATAAATGTTTATAAGTAAGGCGTCTTTCTAATTTAGTTATTTTTGTAGATACATTACCTTTGTAGATATTTTTAATTAGTTAATCTGTTCTATATCTTGTTTCTCAAAGCATACGAAAAAAAGCATTTAAAATAGTTTTGAACATATTTTTGGAAACTTCCTTTCTTGTCCATAGCATCAATTATACACATTGTACAAAAGAAAATTCAGCGCAGTCTTCAAAATTTTGAAAATTTCTATACATTGGTTCGTCATTTAAAGGCCTTCATTACGCCGTTCGTTCTCGCTAGCCGTCTTCCTTTCTCCTGCCACATCTCGTGTGTAGAATCCCTCGCCCGTGGCTACGCACCCCTCCCATTACATCTGCCCGCGTCGCGTCGGAAGCTGAGAAGGCCGCCGGTTGGTTTCGATCCCGGGGCCGTGGCTTTGACGTCAGCGTCGCAGCAGAGCTTCATTACGAGGCGCGGTCTGGAGTCCTGGCGGCTCCGTTTGACACAGGCGCGATAGTACGGAAAGCCACGGAGCGCCCGGGAGAGGTGGCTCAGGGTCTCAACTGTTGTCACCGTAGTACCTCTGACCGAAAGGTCCTGAGCTTCGAGTCCTCATGGTGGCAGGATTTCTTCTAACTACATATTAAATGGTCAAAATCCTCGTTTTATGGGTTCGATACTTTACACGATACTCTACTTGTACATGAACTCCCAAAATTTTCAGAATTAACACAAAAAAGGCTTCCAAGTTTTTTGATTTTTTTTGTGTCGAGTAAAGTGCGCTTATAAAAGGAACGCAGATGGTAATTTTCGAAAATTGCAATAGTCTATATTTTGGCGCCTTCGAACAACTACAATTTTGAAGTTAGAGATTCTTTTAATGAAATCTGTTCATCAAAACTAGATCTTTAATTAAAGAGTTGTACAATGTTTTCAAAATATGGGTAGTATTGTGCTTATTATGTATGAAATGAAGGTAAGTTTAAGTAAGTAGAACATTTTCCCAAAGATGGCTCTAAATGTATTTTTTCATGGATAGAGCAAAGAAGGTCTGTAACAATGACACAGGTTCGATTTTTGCTGAACTCCCAGAATTTTTGGGAATTGCAAAAAATTAACCTATTTCGACGCCTTTCTCTACCTTACAATATTGAAGATAAAGATGGTTTTCTTCGTAACGTCGATTCTTCAGAATTCAATATTCAAGTAGTATCATTTCAGTTAATTTGAAAATACTGTTTACTATGGTTCAACTTGATTAGAAAAACTTTTCCAGGTTTGAGTAGTATTACAATCGTTGCAAATAATGTTAGAAAGTACTTGCCGTTGTAGCAGCACTTGAACTCGTTCTCCAAAACAAAAAAATTTAAATGAAATAAGTTGAAAGCATTCGTAATTATTAATAAAGTTTGCTATTACTCGTAAATAATAGAGGAATGTACCCTAACCAGGGCCCGGTTCCTAATGAAAGTCCGTTGATTTTCTGATTTGTAGAGTGCTGTTGCCTATTTCAAACGAACTAAAATAGTAGTTCTTTGTTAGACCGCAACCCACTCAAGCGGTAGTGTTGTCATCTTCACTTGTTGCCAAACAGGCGGCCATTAGTGCGAACAGTGAAAAGCAAAATGTTCTCAAGTTCTTATTCTCTGTTGCCTAATTTCGATACTTCATCGTTAAGTCTTCTAACTATTGCATCATTTTAGAGAGAACATAAGCTATTGATGTTGGGTAATATAATTTATATTACTTGCTTTGTAAAAATGTTACTAGCGTGTGGAATATAAACACGCTGGTGCATAACTTGAAACCCCAAATGTTCCTAACGCAGAGCCCCAGTTTTCCTTCTTGTAAAATAAGAACAATTCAGGTATTTGGCACTTCTTATATATTAGAAGGTCAATAAAAAGCAAAAGCTTACACTGAAGACTAACAGTTCAAGAGAACAGGAACAAGAAAGAGGACAGAGACAATTTCAGAATTTAATCCCACGGAAGTCGAATGAGAGAAATTCAAGAGAATTCTCAAGTAAAACAAAAAGCAAAAGGAATATTCCATCTCCGGCGAGGGTTCGAACATATCATCTGGCTCTTTCGAATTGAATGTTCTACCAGGAATATATTTCCTCCCAGATTACGAAGACGCAGAGCGCGTGTTTTGCAGTGCAACATTTTCAGAGAGCTCTAGGAGAACTATGGGTGTTGTGCCTAATATGTTCATTCTGGGTTTGCACTGATCATTCTGCGATTTTTTGGCACTTGAATATATAGACTAAATGTCAGACATGTAAGAAAATTTCTTATGTATGAGATGTTAAACTTGTATTTTTGAAACATTATACTGAGTTCAATCTATTTGGAGTTATTTCATATATTTTTACTAATTTCTTAAAGCCACTGCAGTGGGCTAACATTAATTTTTTTTTAAATTCAAAATGTAATGTTCATGAAAAAATGTTTTCTTAAACTGCTTGGCCAATAATTTTAAGTAGAACATAACATTTGTATAACTAAGTAAGGTATGCATTGCATGTATTTTGATTTAATTGTAAAGAAAAGTGAATTTAAAAATATTCCCAAACAAAAAGGCGGCCCGGGTTTGGGCTCTTTCCTTTACATATCTATTCATAAACCCTTAGCATTGATAGATGTTTATTTTCAATTTTTATAATGCTTGTTGACTCGGATACAACGCATGCACTAAAACTTTGCTCTACCTAACGAAAAATTTTAATGATAAAAAATGTGTTGCCATCTTGAGAAAATCAGAATACCTATATGAATACCGAAGGGTCTCAAGTTCGTTCAAATCGATCGGGGAATGCCTCTTTTGGAGGATTTCGACTAAATGCTCTAGCATTGACTACAGACTGACAGACAGACGTACTGAAGGACACATGGAGGTTTTGCCGTCAACCAATTTTTAGGTTTGAAGGACACACAAAACGTGGATTCTGACAATACACCGGGTTAAAGGAAAGTATTTACTCCGCATAGGAACACGTTTTATCCTCTTTTTCAACATTAGATACGATACAAGCTTTTGTATTAAAAAAATCGCAATTTTTACCATGGCATTAAAATATTCTTTATGAAATGTAAGTAGTATGTGAGAAAGTTAAAAAATCCTCATTTCTCACTATATGTATGCTTCTAATGTCATTTTGCTGAAAAAAAACACATCGTTTCTATATATTTATTTTCTTTTGTGAAATTCAAAAGGAAATGCTTATAGTGAATCAATACTCTGAGGATAGTTCAAGTATTGCCGAAGAAAATATTTACATTTTTCGCATTCAAACCAAGACAAAAGCAAATTTTTGAATTACTGGTATTAGGGTTCAAATCACAGCTCTTTGTCGAGCGCTGATTACAAATGACGCTAATGACCTTCTAAATCTACATAATCGCTTCGAGGACCAAAAATACGTATAAACCTGTAGTGATACAATTGGGCTTATCTCACACGAACGTTACGTTTAGTAACGCGCGTCGTGGATTAACACTGTATCTTACGAAACAGTACACGAACGCTCTTGGCCGTTCCGCTTAAGATACACTGTTAATCTACAACACATGTTACTTAACGCGCGTCAACGCCACGCTCGTGTGACTACAGGCCTTATACATGCTGGAACGATTTAAAAAAAGCATTGCATTCGTGACATAAACATCTGAGGCTATATGTGGCAGAGGCATTAATTGTTGCTAATATTGTGACTGACACGGTGGACAATTTTGCTACCAGAAATGACTCACACTTTGTTTTCCTGAGTAGTTTCATAACAACGATAGTCAGGGACTCAAATTGCTACAAACTACAATTTTTGTTAATTACTATATAATTGAGAAATACTTATCTGCCGCTCCTTTTCGTGTCCAGGTTCCAGATTATTTATTAATTGTCGACCACGTTTTCTTACATGCATTTTCTCCATCTCGCCTACGATAAGCACTAATTGAAAAAGTAACTTTTGTATGAACGTCTACAGCCACTTAAAAAAGAATGTTTCACACGCGAAGGAGCTAATACCGAGATCCACCAATACTTTTTGTGCAAGGAAGTGGCTTCTGGTCGCCAACTACCTTTCTCCCGCCGCCCCCCCGCATCTCCCCGTCGCCCTCCTCTTGCTCGAGTGCTTTTCGAGATGTCCCCTGAAATGAATTTCGCGAGAGGCGCTGGGAGGCGGAGACTGGCGACGCAGAAAGCGTTTGCCGCGTAAATAATTCTCGACGTGCCTCTGCTAACAAGCCCACTCCTCACGCGACGTGCAAGCCTCGCTCCCCTCCACTCCCACCCTTCTCCCGCCACCCAGTCCGCTTCTTGGCACTCACCTCTCCCTCCGCCGCGCGATTTCACTGCCTCATCCCTGCGCTTCCGCCCGCCTTCTGCCTCCATCGTTTCTCGCCCACGGATATTAGACCACACACGTTACATGCAGTGTTTTGTGCTGTTTGACGATTAATAAATAAAATCTTTGTCTCGTCTGCTCGCCTTTCTTGATTCCAATGCACGTGTCTTAACCATTCGTGATTTGGCTTCCATTTATCTTGTCCTTATCCATCTCTTTCCTCCGTCACTTCGAGGCCCTGTCTGTTCCTCCCGTCGCCGTTTGTCTTTTTTTCGTTTCATCTCTTCATCTCTCCGCATCTACTCATTTACTGTTTTGGCACCATTCGCTTCCATCCGCCTTCAATCTCAATCCATCTTCTTCATCTATCATTTCGCTTGTACCAACCTCCAACCTCATCATCTTCCGAGTACTTCCTCCACCACCGTACGAGATGCACTGGTTGCCAGATATCAGCGGTAACACCGTTGACTCTGCAGCATCGTTGACCGGGGGGTGCTTGGTTCGAGTCCTGACAATGGCATACTACATCGCTATGTGGAATTTAACCGCTGCCTGGAGAACAATTCTACGGGCCGGCTGCTCTGAGCGGTAGTTTTCAGGGGTTTCTCCCATCAGTACCACAAGAAAGCTGGAACAGTACCTAACCTATCAAACGGGGCACGTATCGCGCCCTATCTTTCATTCTGTATTCTTGTCCCACCTCTCTCAGCGTGGGAAGAATATCTCGAGTGGAAAGAAAATAGAACTTGTAATACAATAACGGAATATTGACCGTAGTAGTTGACGCGCCGGAACCACTGAATACCCACCCGACGCGCTGGCACAGATGGCGACGCTGGCTACCAGAGCCGGAGTCTCAACCCTGCGGCCCAGGCGCTGCGTGGAGCGCGAGAACGTTAATGCATTAAGAACTTGCTCGCCAGATTCGCCGCGCGAGAAAGTGTCCCGGCGTGACAACTGGAGCGAGATAACGAAAACATTTAATCTGACAGCGCTATAAAACCTCGTCGCCGTAATTAAACCTCCAAATCGGATGCGCTCAAGTCATCTCGAAGGTCGGAGATACCGTCCGAAATGCAAAGAGGACGCTGTAGCCGAGGGGGAGCGTTAATTCCAGGAGGACGACCGGGGACGCACGGGAAGCCGGGAGCCCGACGCAGTGAATTATTCTGTCGGGTTCATCGTCACGAAATTGTAGAAGTTTGGGGGGGTTTCTTCGTTGGGCGCTTTCGCAATGAGAGGTCAAAACTGATTTTTCCTTAAATGGACAGTGATGAATACACCACTTCATAAGACGTTATATTTCATTCGCTAAGGAAATCAGATAAAGGCGGTGAACTCTTGGGCTCGTGCAAAACGTGTGAATAAGAAATATTCCCTTTCCTCAATTCATCAAGGAGTACTTTATAAATTTCAAGACACCTTGGCAGTATATAAAACTCACAAAATTAAATATTTTTTTAATAAGTTTTTTTAAAGATCGGTCTAAAGTAGAAAGTTACTGAAGAACATGAAATAAAAGACGTGTTCAAACCATAATTGCTTAACAGAAAAAATTACATTCTCATCTCAACCTGTGAAGAGTGAGGTAGGCCTCGCTTATCAGCTCATCGTGGTCTGAGCGATGGGCACATATCCTCGTTTGGCCCAGTCCATTGTTTCGGAATATGACCGACAAAGGCCGGCGATCAAAAGAGCAGCGACAGGCTATGAGTTCTCTGTGGTGTTTCGTGGTAGAGAAAGGAGTAAATAATATACTGAAATCTTTTATAATAAAGCAGAAATGGTATCGCTGCAGCGATGGAGACTAATCAACACTGAAGTCGAGGAAAAAAGGTGATTTTTTTAAAGTTTTAAAAAACATTTTAAATTGTGGTTAATTTTAGGAAAATGATCCATTATACATCAATACGGCCGTTGATTTTTCATTTTCTTATTGTCAAATAAAAAGAAAAGCCACACCTATTGACACCAACGCTAATATAGTTAAACAGGGCT